ACAAAATGTTCAATATTTACACAAATGGGGTTCCCCTCCCGGAGCGTGTTTATTAGCTCCCCCATCATCATATTTACATGAGCTAATACTCCAACGCCCTTGAATTGAAAGGTCCATTGTAACGAAAAAAAGTGGAAAAAAGACCTCCACGTCCCAGAATGAAACAAAGACCAGAGGGCAAAGACTCAGTGGCATTTTTGCTTTTGCCTTACTGAATGCCGGGTCGTACTGATGAGACATCGAACGGATTAAGTGGGTCCCGTATGGTAAGATGGATGGGAAAGGCTGATAAAGAATTCCCTTCTGTGAACAATGGATAGATATGATTTTGAGGAGTCTATCTGGAGGCTTGTAGTGCGGGATCGCTGAACAATCAAAAAAGGCCAATACTGACCCTAGTGATAACGTGCCTACCCCAACCACGCATCGACCTCACAGCCTCCCAGCTCAAATGACAAGCATAACGAATTCTATAGTATAGCCTCGCCCCATGTTGCGGAAGCTCTGTTTTTCCGTAAATTTCTTTCTCATAAATGGGTGAAATGGGTCTCGGGCTGTTAAGAATGAGATAATTCTAGAGGCGGAGGGGGAAGGAAGTCACGGAACACAAAGTGGATTCCATATGTATTGAAAGAGTTCGGTTCACAACAGCCGATTCCATATCCATAGGCATTCTGGCTTGATGAATGCTATCTTGCTTGAAAAATCCCTTCCTTCTTATTTGCCTTATTCAACAAAACAAAGGGTATAAGACTTCTCTCATCCCACTACCGCACTATCCATGTCTTATTCTTAGACTCTCCTACCTGCTCCAAGATGATAGATCGGATGAAAACAAGAGAGAAGGAGCTGTTATTGAATCCGGTCTTAGATGGTTGGAAGACAGAAGCAATAGCATGATAGGAATAGCAGATTTAATAGAGATCACATCACAATAGGATGAAAACGAGACTTCTTATCTGCTTTCACGTGGAAATGGGATAATGTCAAAATGCCTTTGAAAAGCAACTAGTCTTGATGCCAGTCTGGTTCAAGGACACAAAGAGCTCAGTTCGTTAGACGTCTCAAGACTTTCAGAGGAAGAAGAGAAACTGGAGGTCACGATCCAGCGTTTGATTGCCAAAAAAGAGGATACAAAAACTCAGTTGCTTCGTGATTTGAACAATGAAAAGGTATCTAAGGATTTGGCAGAATGGAAAAACTTTGAAGAGGAGATCAAACGAGCAGATGACAACTGGTATGGGGGAAAAGAGAGACTAGCTCAAGCCAACACCAGTTGGCAACTTTTCAAGGAGCTGTAAAAGCTTTCCAATTTATAAGGGTTGGATTTCAATTCATGTAACTTTACTTCGATTTTCCCTTTCGAATCAGAACTTCCCTCAGTCTTCTCTTCATTTGGCTTTATCGCCACTTACACTGGGCCAACTTCACTCGAGTCAAACTTGGCCTCACGGAAGTTTGAACAAGCGGGTGAATCAAATTCTTTAACTGGGTCTTTTTTGGTCTTAAAAACTTTGACTTCCCATTTTCTGTACTGCATCGTTCAAAAATTTACCACAGTCTGCTTTTCCGGAGAACTCCCTCCCTTTTGATTTGAAGACTTTCTTGCTTGCCGCCGGCTCAAGCTACAGTCTATCTCCTCCCCTTCCTACCCTATCCTCCTCAATGGATCTCCGCATGGCTAGTTCCGAGGTACAAATGGCATTCGACCCCCTCTCCCCGTTTGTTTTGTGCATGGAGAGACTCTCACAGGCCATTAGCAAGGCAGTGGATTTTGGGGCCTGGAAGCCTGGGAAGAGATGGGCCGAAGTTATCTCCCCTCTTCTTCGCCGGCGACCTTATTCTCTTTGCGGAGGCAAGGTTAGACCAAGTGCAGATTATCTCGGAGTGCTGCTTTTTGCGCTAGTTCCGGGCAGAAAGTGAGTGATTCTAAGACCAGAATCTTCTGCTCTCGTAATGTTCCCGCTTCCTTAGCCAATCGGTTGAGTACTGGTTTCGGATTTGAATTGACTAACAACCTGGGCCGTTACTGGGGAATGCCTCTTCTCCATGAGAGGCTTAACTTAACAAGAGCACGTTCAGGTTCATAGTGGATAAAGTGCAGCAGAGATTGAATGGGTGGAAAGCGCAGCAAGAGAATTCACTGCTTTTGTGCCAACCTTATCGCCTAGAAGCTAAAAGGAATCAATCTAAAAGGGGGGCGAAGTTACGGGCCTCTTTAGAGATAGGGTATGGGGGGGAGCGGCTTTCTTGTGGTAGTAATTGCGAACATCTCTCCTTTTTTCTTAGCGTGCACAGTTTGCTTGCATGCCGCCTTAGGCACATCTCTCTTTCTTAGTTTAACGCTGGCCTACCTAATGAATGAAAATCAGTCTTTTAGTAAGCCGTATATAAGCAGCCGTTTAGTGTATAAGCAATTCTTTAGTGACCGCACCGAAAGGTACGTACGGTGTAGGTTGGTTGAAGATGATGTTACGCGGCGTTCAGAACCAGCCTTGAA